GCCCCACGTAGAGAGCGTTACAGTAGTCTAACCTCGAGGTGACCATCGCACGGATCACTGTGGCCAGATTGCCGTGGCTAAGGAAGGGAACCAACTGCCGCACCAGCCGTAGATGATAAAAGGCTGCTTTGGCAGTGGCTGCCACCTGGGCCTCCATCGTTAAGGTGGGGTCCAGGAGCACTCCCAAACTCCTAACCTCTGAAGCTGGCACCAAAGGTGCCCCATCAAAGGCCGGGAGCGGGAGCCCCAATCCCATACCACCCCGACCTAGGCACAGGACCTCCGTCTTTGCCGGGTTCAGCTTCAGCCGGCTCAGCTTGAGCCACCCAGCCATGGCCTGTAAAGTCCAGTGAAGTTCTTCTGGGTCGGAGTCCGACTGGCCGCCCAACATCAGATAGAGCTGGGTGTCATCGGCATATTGATGACACCCAAGCCCATACCACCGGACAATCTGGGCGAGGGGGCGCATGTATATGTTAAATAGCATCGGGGAGACTACCGTCCCCTGAGGAACTCTGCATTCCAGCAGGTGCCTCCGGGACTGCTGCTCCCCTAGCCCAACCCTCTGTCCCCGGCCTTGGAGAAAAGAGACAAGGCATTGAAGGGTGAGCCCCTGAATCCCCACGTCGGCAAGGCGGTGGGCCAGCAGCTGGTGGTTGACCGTATCAAATGCGGCCGACAGCGCCGCCACACCACAACAGCGCCGCCACACTGCCTCGATACAGATGTCTATGGAGGTTGTCAGTAAGGGCAACCAGCACCGTCTCCATCCCAGGCCCCAGGCGAAAGCCAGACTGGAATGGATCAAGGATGGGAGATGCTCAGGTCTCTGCCAGTGAAGCCCTCTGGCATGTAGCTCTCACTCCTCTCTCCCTGATCAGGGTTTATGATGCACATCTATCAGATCCCTGTGGCAGGTAGGTCCAAATGGTCTGGTTTTCCCACTGAACCCACGTTCCTGTTTTCCTGACTTCTTGCTTCTTGGAAAAATAAACAGTTGCCATGGGTTCAGGGACCCACCCCAATCATAACTACTCACTGAGGGGACCAGGGCTCCCAGCATCCCTTCACTTCACTGCTGTTCTAAGGCCTTGCTTTGTGCCTGTGTCTCCTGCTCCCCAGTGTATGGTTACCAGAGGGACAGCTTACTATACTTGTGCACCAGTGGGTGAGTAGCCACTTTCTAAATGACTGCCCCTTCCTTGGCACACCTTTTAAAATACTATGTCTGAAATAGTGGATGTTAATATGGTACAGGTAATTACTACTAGCAGTAAAACTTATAAAACTTTTATTAAAAAGAAAATTCCCACACGCATTTCAGTAAAGCTTTTGACAGGGTTCCCCATGATGTTCAGATGGGTAAGCTGAGGATTGCGGACTGCACTTTAGGACAGGTGGCTAGGGAACTGGTTAGAGAACTGCACGCAGAGGGAAGTTGTCAGTGGCATTTTATGGCATCCACTAGGGTGCCACAGGGCCTGGTACTTTTCAGTATTTTTATGAATGACCAGGCTAAGGTGGTGGAGGGAATATTCATTAAATTTGCAGATGACACCAAATAGGGAGGAGTAGCAAACACCTTGGGTGATAGAATTTTCTTTTTATTTGAATATTAAGTCTTTATTGAGAAAAGAAAAGAAAGGCAAAGGGGGAAAAAACTAGGTCCCTGGCCTGAGAGGATGCTGCATTGTCAGCATGGATATTAAAATCCCCCAGCATTGGTGAGAGGATCACTCCCTGGAGCACTCCACATTCTAGTGGGCATCATGGGGAGACCCTCTTGCCAAGTGCCACTCTCTGTCCTCAACCATGGAGAAAAGAGGAAAACTACTATAAGGCAGTCCCCCTAACTCCTATGTCACCAAGGCAGTGATTAGATCTTAATCGACCATGTCGAATACTGCTGTCAGGTCTAAAAGTAACGAGAATGGATAATAGTTGCAATAACCAAACAATAAGACCGAAGGAAACTGAAAGAATGCACTACACAACTATAAGGTGAAATATATTATCCAATATGAAATATATCAAATTGTACAAAGTGGTAAGTATAAATCATTGCTAGCCTTGACCATTCCACCTGCCCATGCAGAACATTCTGAGTGAATATGACTATAGTAGTCTGAAAATTCTTGGAGAAGAGCATGTCTGTGAGTCACCTATTGAAGTTGTACCACCGTGTTTCCCCGAAAATAAGACACTGTCTTATATTTATTTTTTCTCAAGAAGACACACTAGGACTTATACCACAAATGCATAGAAATCCTGCTAGGGCTTATTTTTGGGGTAGGTCTTATTTTCGGGAAAACAGGGTAGTAACAAGACAAGTTGTTCCAAGGAAGTCCCAACGAAATAATATGTCATTCCGGAGAACTTCATTAACAACTATGAATTATTACCATGATTTATACTTACCACTTTGTACAAATTGATATATTTCATATTGGATAATATATTTCACTTTATAGTTGTTTAGCGCAGTTTCAGTTTCCTTTGGGTCTTATTGTTAGGTCTAAAAGTAACAGCAGCACTGACCTGCCCGATCCAGGTGTCTCCAGAGGTCATCCGTAAGGGCAACCAGTGCTGTCTCTGTCCCATGGCCAGGACCGAAACTGGACTGGAATGGATCAAGGCACTACATCTGCAGCATCATCCAAGAAGGCCTGAAGCTGCTCAGCCACTGCCCTCTCAACTACCTTCCCCAGAAACTGTAAATTCGAAGCTGGGCAGTAGTTAGCTAAGACCACAGGGTCTAGTGATGATTTCTTTAGGAGCAGACATACTGCCACCTCCTTCAATCCCACTGGGAATGTCCCAGAAAAAAGGGACAAGTTAAGAGAGCCAGTTTGGTGTAGGAGCATGAACTCTAATCTGGGAGAACCAAGTTTGATTCCTACACCAAACTGGCTCTCTTAACTTGGCCATTATTACCTCCACTGGCTGTGAAGTCTACAAGTTGAGTAAAGAAATGTTTCCTTTGGTCTGTCCTAAACCTATTTCCCACCAATTTCATTGAGTGCCCTCAAGAATTATGGGAAAGAGGAAGAAAAAGCTTTCTTTATTTACTTTCTCCACCTCCTTCCCCCTTCCCCTTATATTTCCCTGTGATGTGGAGAAATAGAAATGGTAAATTCCATTCCTTCCCTGGTCCTACCTCCTTCTTTGAAATGGTAATGGAGTATCATAGTTAATGAGGATGCCAGCCTTTTAAACAAAATAGACAAGTTTTTAAAATGTCTCCAAAGGAAGACTCCCGTCCAACTCAAATTAATTGCAGTGGAGCCCCAAAGAGATCAGTGGGATTATGACTAATTTATCTTGTAACTAACTTTAGTTGTATTGGCCTTGAAATGTGTAAATGGTTGCAATTTCACATGAATCCCATTCTTCATAACCCAAATGACACATATTTATACAGTACAATATAGTTTCTTGGAATGGCTTGAAAGAAAGGGGAAATTGGAGGCGTTTGGGCAATCAAACTATTGTCATTTATACTGTGTCATGTTAAAAGGGGACTGTGTGAATCAAAAGTTCCAGGTAAGTATCATGCAGAAACAAAGGCCACCCTTTTTGTAACATGTACTGAAAACGTTATATTTGGAGATCGAGAGGCTAAAAGATGGTATGGATATCCCTTCCTTTTTAACTTCCCCAGGTTGCTTTAGGAAGAAATTATTCTGCACATGTTTTATGGAGGACTTCTATTATATGTCATATTGTGTGTGTAATATATAACAGGATGAAATTGGGCAGATCAGAAGCTCTTTTTAGAGTTGATTAAAGCTTTTGGCATCAGGACAGGTTGAAGCTTTACAGCTTTAATACTTTTAAGTTAACTTCTGGCATTACTTCAAAACAAGTTTGCAAGATTTATCACAAGTACTCCTCTTATCTGAATAACAATTTTATCCTGATAATGATTTAAGCCTACATTATTCTGTTATTGTCTAAGAAAGACAAGAGGGGATTCTGTTAAATCTTTGTGCTACAAGTTCTTTTAGATGTTTCTAGTTTATTTCAAACTTTTGTATGTTGGGAAGGAGATGCTACTGGACCATAAGCTCTAAAATGAATTGCCTCCTATGTTTCTTGGCTTGCATATCCTGCATATTTCAATATCGGATGGGGTGATTCAACCATGCTATTCAGTCAAAACGGATGAGACCTTGGAGATTCGGGATTGGATCTTTCCAGTAGTTTTTGCCTAAATTACAAGTGATTAGGATCAGGACCACGAGGGGAAATAGGATAGTAAACTATTTCACTTCTGGGTAGTTTCATCATTTGAAAACACCTCCCCCCAACACACAAAACTATTTAATGAAAAAATAGATGGGAAGAGGTGGGTACTCATCTTTTTTAATCCAGTGGCTCTGCAATAATCACTACTCATCAAGGCACAGTCACCTTTGCGGATGAATAATTCACCTGCAGCACCACTCCTAACTTAGAGACAGGACAGAATTACCATCCACTCACTCTCAGAGGAAGGCAAAGCTAGAGAAGCAAATCATGCAGGGATGCAGCAGGCACCCTCATTGCACAGCAGCCTTACATTAATTTGTGTTTTTTTTTCCCCTCCTGATACACTTTCCACAGTGAACAGTCTGGTGATTAGAGCTTCATGGAGTACAGACTACTATTGTGATTATTATTGTATTGTTTTAATCTTGTTGGTTTAAATTGGTTTTAATTGTTACTATATATTCTATTAATGTTGATGGAACCCACCCTGAACCTGCTTGCGGGGAGGACAGGATACAAGTCCAATAAAATAAATAAATAAATATCACTGCTGCTTTAGAACAGAAGTTATTACTCACTGAGAGGAAGGTTTGCTGAATCTTATTTGCAAGGCCCCGGATATTGTTGATAATTATGGCTGAGAAATTTTGAAGATCCATTACTTATGCTACCAGATGTTACACTCATTCTACATGCTTTCCTTCTGATCTTGTGAAAGTTCATGTCTGCTTTGTACTTATATTTTTCAGGGTTGGCAAGATGAGATTGAGAAGTATTGCAGTCATATTCGCTTGGCCGAAAAGAAGTTGCAACACAGAGATTTGGAGACACTGCAACAGGTATAATGTTGTTTTCTGTTAGATTTCTGCTCATGGGCAAGGAAATCGCTCTCTTCTGTACCCACTCCATTCTGTCCCCATCCTTTTTGAAGTGAGGCCTCCAGAACTGCACACAGTACTCCAGGTACGGCTTGACCAATGCTGTATGCAGCAGGACTATGACATCTTTTGATCTGAATGTTGTGCCTCTGTTGATACACATTACTGCATTAGCTTTTTTGCCAATATATCATACTGATTGCCCATATTTAACTTCACCTGTGCCCCAATATCTTGTTTACACACACTGCTACCCAGAAGTGTGTCCTCCATCAAGTATGTGTGCTTCTCATTTTTGTTACCCAGATGCAGAACTCCGCACTTATCCTTGTTGAACTGCATCTTCTTCACATCTGCCCACTTTTCCAGTGTGTTCAGTTCTCATTGAATTCTGTCTCTATCTTCCAGTGTATTCTCTGCTCCTCCTAATTTGGTGTCATCAGCAAATTTAATGAGTAGTCCCTCCACCTCCTCATCCAGATCATTTATAAAATATTGGGAAGTACCAGGCTCACAACCTTTGGCAATTGCAATAAAGGCTAATAAGCAAAATCAAGGCCTAGAGATAAATGGATTTGTACATACAATTAATATGCTTGTAGATGATGTAGTTGTATTAATGGTAAATCCTAAAGAAGCACTACCTGAATTAATGAAGAAGATTTGTGGTTATGGAAGAATTGCAGGATTACTTATTAATTATAAGAAGTCTGGAATACTGTACATAAATATAAAACCAAAAATGCAATTTGAAATTTGAAATGAGTTAGGATTCTCCATACATCATAAATCATTTAAATATCTAGGTGTTACTATCCCAAAGAATCTAAATGAATTAACAGCAGCTAAACTGCCATCCGGTTATTCTACAAATAAGAAGAGATATTAACAGATGGTCCCAGTTACATTTGACAATTATGGGTAGAATCAACGCTATCAAAATGATGGCACTCCCAAAATTAAATTATTTTTTTCAAACGCTTCCCATATATATCACATCAAGAGATCTAGCCTGTTGGCAAAAAACTTTACCAATTTTATTCATCAAGGTAAAAAACCAAGACTTATGAAGGCTATAAGATACAAAAGGGTGGATCAAGGAGGATGGGGAGAACCAAGTATATGCTAATATTATGAGGCAAACCAATTGAGAGCCTTGGTGTCATATTTAAATGGAACCTCTTATAAGTCTTGGGTGAGCATGGAAGCAGATGGGAAATATTTGAATTTAATTGAGAAAATCATTTTTGGAGGGGGAAAAGAAAGAGACATTAAATGGGTAGAGAACCCTTTCCTATATACTGCATTAAAAATTGGGTTAAATGGGAAAATAACTGATCCCAGAGATATCCCCATTGATTCCTATCATATTACATCCCAACTTCTCATGTCTGGATAAATCAGAAAGCTATATTAAATTGAAAGAAAAGGGGATCTATAGAATGAGAGATCTTTATGTAGACGGGACTCAGTTGCAAGGAGAGTTAAATTGGTTTTCACTATATCAACTGCATTACCTAACTGTAAACTGTATGGTAAGGCAAACCATGACTAGAAAGCTGTTGAAATTTGAACAGATTTTAATGCAACATATGACAAATCTAAAAGGAGTAACCTCTAAAATATACACTTATTTAATTGAGACAGATACAGGTTCACTAAATGGTTTGAAAATAACATGGGAGAAAGATATCGGAATAAAGATTGAGCAAAATATTTGGAATAAGATATGGTTTACCCAAACAAGAAAAACTATATCAATAGCTCTTAGAGAGAACTCCTTGAAATTATTACACAGCTGGTATTTCACCTATTTGCCTTGCAAGAATAACCAACACAAACAATAAAAAAGGCTGGAGAAAGTGTAATCAGCAGTGTGATTACATTCGTATGTGGTGGCTATGCCCAACAGTGTCACATTTCTGGGAGAAAATTTTTACAGAAATGGCGAAAATTACATGTCAAACTATCTGTGTAACACCAGCTTTGTCCCTGTTAACAATATGGGAGAAACAAAATGAAAAGGTGACTTCTAAAGGACTGATAGTGTTTATGTTAATGGTGGCGTGCAAGACAGCTGCTAAACACTACACTCCTGGTTTTCTGAGTTGTGGCAGATTGCGATAGCTGAAAAATTAACGTCAAATTAGAATAATCAAATCCAAAGTCAAAACTGTAGACTTTTTTGAAACATGGCACGATTTTATTTCATATACAACTCAGAACAATACTCAAAGTATGTTTAAGCCCTTCCTCAGATTATGGGATAAAGTTAAGTAAGCCTTTCTCTATATTTTAATCATGTTGTAACTATACATTAATTATGCATGTTTATAGGAGAGAGAAAAAGAAGAAAAAGGGGAAAGAATTACTTCTCTTTGTATTTTTGCATTGAGCTCTCTACCAATGCCTTAATTTGTTTACTTTTTAATATTTTTTCTTTTTTTGTTGTTATGTGTACATTGTAGGTTGTTCTTCTATATGGGGAGTGGGGTGTGTACTTGATGTTTATGTTTGTTTGTTTTTTATATTTAAATAAAAAATTATTAAAAAAAAAAGAATCGAGCCCTGTGGCACCCTACTGGATACCTCCCTCCAATCAGATTAATTGCCATTGATAACTACTCCCTGGGTGTGGTTCTTCAACCAGTTCCCTCTCCACTTAACTGTCCTTGAGTCCAATCCGCAGTTTCCCAGTTTTCCCATCAGAACATCATGGGAAACCCTATCAAGAGCTTTACTGTACTGAAATCCAGATAAACAATGTCATCAGCATTCCCACAATCCAGTAAGCTTCTCAGTGTATCAAATAAGGAAATGAGGTTGGTCTGGCAGGACCTATTGGGGACAAATCCGTGCTGAATTCCCCAAATCATAAAGTTGTTCTTTAGATGCTTATAGATTGATCCCTTTAAAATTGCTCTAGTATCTTCAATGGGACAGAGGTCAGACCAACTGGGCTATAATTTCTTGGGTCATCTTTCCTCCCTTTTCTGAAGACTGGGATAACATTTGCCCTCCTCCAGTTTGGTGGCACATCTCCCATCCTCCAAGAGGTCTTGAAGGTGATAGACAAAGGCTCTGCAAGCTCTCTAGAAAGTTCTTTGAGCATTCTTGGGTGCATACCATCTGGCATGGGGGATTTGTACTCATCCAATGCAGCCAGGTGCCTCTCAACAACCTCTCCGTCCATGTCAACCAGCAGCCTGGATGCTGTGCCTTGCCTACTACCAACTCTAGATAAGCCTGTTCTCTTCTTCAGGGAAATAACTGAGGCAAAATAGGCAATGAGCCTTTCTCTCTGTCCTCTGTCAGAGTTTCTCCATGTTCGCCCAACAGAGGGACTATTGCCTCTTTTACGTTCCGCTTTTTCCTCACATAGCTGAAGAAGCTTTTCTTGTAGCAAGCCTCCCTGGCCAACCTCAGCTCACTCTGAGCTTTGGCCTCTCAGGTAGTTTCCCCGGTCATTTATTATAACTTATTTCTATACCAAATGCTAGGTAAATTCAGAAGAGGAGAGGGGGGGAAATGAAAGCAGGGTCCTGAAATGCATTTTAGAAGTGATGCTCTGATGTTGCTTGTTAGATGCTTTCTGTCTCCAGTTTGTAGAAGTTGATTTGTGTGTGCGCGCTTGTATCACCAAACTAGGCACCATGTAATGTTTTATTATTCAATGATACATTTACATAGCAGAATAACAGAACAGAAATGAAGTGGTAGAGTCCTCAAGTGCTAGAATGGAGGATATAGAGCTGGAGGATCATATTTCATCTTTCCCTTTATATCCAGTTTGCTACAGTTAGAACTAGCATTCAGGGAGAAGTCTGATCCAATATTTTTCCCATTGATATGACTGCTTTTTACTTGCAGGAGTTTTTACTATGGGAAACATTAAAAAATGGTATTCACTACAAATAAAGCTATGGATTAATGCAGGTTTAGAGAAATTCAGGATCATCTGACCCCGTACTACTTCACCCATTGTAGCTTTCTAAGAACACCAGCTGCAGATTTCACAAACAGTAAGGAGTCAGTGGTACCAGTCACTCTGCCTTCTTAGGCCTTTACTGCTTGATTCTGCATCATATGCAGATCAGGCCCCAATATGTGGAATGCTCCTCTATTCAAAACTGAAGTGATGTGCAACAGTATGAAAGACTTGTCTGAGCAGAGTGCAAAGCGGGGGGGGGGGTCATTTAAAGCAGTTTCTGGGTAATTATGGACCAGGCCAAACCACACCAGTGTTTTGATACAGCTGGGATGGAGCAGATTTTTTTTCCAACTTCCAGACAGCACTGTAATGTATACATGCACCTGCCAGCTTTTCCTTGATTTTGCTGCAAGCCTTCCTAAACTGCTTTATTATAATTTTGGGGAACTATCACAACCAATGTGGGGTAGATGCCATGTGAGCAAGAAAGCACTTCCTGATCCTCTCCACACAATTTTCCATGCTCTAGTTTCATATGGCTGCTATTGTACCACCTCCAACCCCCACCACCGAAGGACTGGGTGCGTGGGGGATCTTAACTGGTAATTGACGTACCACTATGTATAGCAATATGTCAATTACCAATTAAGGGGGGAAATTAAAGCCCTCTGGTGGTGGAAGAATGTCAGCTGTTGGGAACTGGGGCAGGGAAACCTGCCATATGGAAGCTTCATAGTTGCTGTGAATGTTTACGCATTTGCAGCATCAACAAGAACCCTGCCGCCAGGTGGAAGCAGCCTGTGACTAGCCAAGCCAGAAAGTATTTGAGTTAGTATTTAAGATAAAAGAATGTTTATACAAGCCATTTAAATTACTGAGTTCTTTCAAGACTGTTTTTTTCCCCTGTGTAAATATTTTTACTGTTATTGTCACTCACTCTCGTCCTAGGACATAAGTGGCTGAATGTAAAGCTCCATTGTAATCAGTCTGAATTACTGAACTTCTGCAAGTTTCTAAATTGGTACTATAG